AATGAATTTGTGCTGGAGGGAGCTAAAACTGAGGAAGAAATTTATAGCTAGTGGTAGGTAACCTAATAGTATTTTAACAAAAATATTTCTCATACGTACATAGTTTTTTGTTTCCCTTTTGTGGTTTTGTTGTTGTGTGGCTTATGCATCTCACAAAGTGAACTTAATTTGTTCTTCATAAAGATTTCTTTATGAGAACACAGAAGGAGACTGCCCCTTGGTTTTTGTGGCCCTTGGTTTTTAGCGCATGTACTAGTAGTTTCTGGTGGCAGAGGCAATGGTATGGATAGTGTGAATGGGATTAACAGGTTTCATTGTGTAGAGTATAGAAAGAGCTGTCTAATGAAAAGCAAACGTTTTCCTGTCTCAATCTCTTAGTTACGGTGCTAGTGTCTTTACATCTTAGATTGTTACTTCTTGCTTTGAAAATGACCCAGGCTTACCAATTCCCAGAGCTTACAACATTCAGGAATGAGGAATGTGGAGGAGGGAATCCGGCCCTTACCTGTGGTTAAAAGATTAATTCTTACTGATGGTTTATTTAAAACATTTGTCTTTGAAAAAATGGTTAATTTTATTGCTTTGGGACTAGAGGAGACTAGAAATCATGATTTTAAAAAAAGTATTAGGATCTCTAAGCTGGGCTGCAAAATTATTCATTTGGAAAAACATGAAAACTTTGATTTTTAAAATTTTACTTTTCTGTAAAATAAAGACATTCACTTCAAGATACAGATTAATAGTACTACATGCATATTATATAATGTGGGTGCATGCCCCCCTTTTCTGTTGGAGAACATAAAGAGTTTTTTAATCACTGCCAATAACATTCTTTCAATGACTGGAATACTTAAAAAAACTTACTTACTTCCTCTTAAGACCTATCATTCTTTCAAAATGTTCTTAATATTCATTTAATTTTTATTTCATATTTAGTTCTGTCCTTTTTATACTATAAAGTTTAGAAGCTTGAGTGTAAATATTTATTACATTGTCGATGTCAGGGAAAGGAAATACAGACAATACAGAGTTGCCCATTATATTTGATACCATGTATTTGAAATAGGAAAGAAGCCAGGTGGTTGGTTTGCTTAATGCATATGCTCTGGAGTGTAATATGTGAAAGGATCCAATGAGAATACCTGACAATTATCTACACATTGGAGAGTAATTTTTCTATAACAGATTCTTTTAAAATGACTCTGTACTGTTACTCCTTGAAGTCTGCATTTTTTGGGCCAAGTGTACACCCTCTTTATCGAGGATTAATAAGAACACATTTAGCAAATCATTTGAGAAGTGACATTTCCCCCTGTAGGAGAATGTACTACTTTATTTATAAAAGCAACCTTCTAGACATATTGGGAGATGTTTGCCATTCCGTTCAGTCTCCTAGCCCAAATGTCTACACTCCTGGACTCTGAGAAGTGATGCTCAGAATAAAGATTGTGAAGCCCTTTTAAATGACCGCTTGTCAGAGTTTCTCTTCACAATGCTTATCTCTCCAATACTTATGTTTTAGGAATCATCTCCTCCTTGCAATTTTCTGACTAATGTTCTGTTAATGGGAAAATTGCTTTAATCCTCAAACTTGCATTTCCTGAGGGTTCTACTAAATGGAGGCTATATTTTCTGTGGTGGATTGGATGATTTATGAAACTATTTTCTCTTAAAAAAATATGCCAAGTAAGGTAATCTACTGGAGCCCAAGATATGGATAATTTGAGCACTATTTGCCCAAATCCAGGACCCTTGGAGAGAGAGAATATTTCAGGACTACAGATAAAATACATACTTACACCACAGTGGAAGCTGGACTCCTAGGTTACTCAGATCATAGCATTAACAGAACTGAAGTTATGGGTTTGACTGTCAATTGACAGAGATACTTTAAGTGAAGTGGTTAAAAGTGAGAGATCTGGTGCCAGACGGTCTAAGGTCAAGTTCTGGCTCCGTTACTAACCTGCTGTGAAGCCTTGGACAAGTTACTTCACTTAGTTGTGCCTCTGTTTCTCATCTGTAAAATGGGGATGATGATAATAGAATCTATACCATAGAGATTGTTTACAGATTAAGTCATTAATATGTGTTAAGTGGTGAGAGCATCAATACATGCTAGGTGTTATTATCTGTTGTTTAAAATCGGGGAAGTGCTTGGTTGCACAGCCACCTTTTGGCAGCCTCCTTGGGCTGAATTGCAGCCATTGATCAGAAGGAGGATGGAGGAGAGCATGTGGGTGTCCAGCAGGTAGCCGCCACCAGAAAGGCAGCTCAAGTGAACATTCTGATGATAAATCAGTAGTAGCACCTCAGACACCCAACTTTGAGGGCCAGGTGGCGTTAACAGTCACAGCAAAATGCTCTAGAGGCAGTCATTACCAGTTAGTTGGAACTGACTTTTGAAGAAATCAAAATGCTTTCCACCTGCATCTAGTCTCTTCTCCCTGTTATACTTGAGGACGTCATGGTCTGGCAAATTCAGTAACTTGCCCATTCCCTCCCTGTTTATTAACATCAGGACATAAGTTGTTTCTCGATTCTCATTTCTGAGGAGCTTCTTGGGAACATTTGAAGTGTGAGTTTACCTGCCAGTTATTTCTGAGTATTTTTTTTTCTTTAAATGACATGCCTGTGCCAACAGAGAAAAATTATCCATGATAGGCAGTGGATATGTTTATCCTATGATTTCTTGCACCTGTTAATAATTGAGAAAGGTTGTATCAAACATGGTGACCGTCCTTTCTACTGGAATGTAAGTTTCTTGGTGACGAAAGGATGTATCTTCTGTCTGTCTTCCATGGAACATTGAATGTGCCTCGGCTGTGCATGTTCAGTAAACTGTCGGTTGCTGCACTGGTGGTATAATAAAGGATTCATTTTAGTTCTGTGGTTTCGAAACTTGGAAATTTTTAAAGGGAAGGAGAGAACATTGTGTTGTATCTGTTAAGCTGTGTTAAATATGTACTGGGTTGAAACTCTTGATCATTTAGAATTCTGCTTTCTGTTTTCATCATTGGTGTAAGTATTGAGGAAGCAGCTGGATTTAAATCTTTAGTTCATCTCCTTAGAAAGAAAATTTGTCTCGTGACTTTGAATTGAGCAAAGTATAATTTGGATTGCCTAGGTGTTAAACCTCTTACGCATCTAATAATTTTCCTTTAATATCATCATTCCTCTAGAACATCCTTTGTTTTATACAGGATCAGGGACAGTTTAGAGAATATTAATAGGATAATAAAAATTGCCCCTAAGCAACAAAGATATAGTGGTTGCGAGTACCTTGGTGGTTAATGATCGTTGCGGGATCGCAGTGGGCATGCGGTGAAGTTAGCAGGCTGCTGGTTCCTCTCTCAGTGCTGGCACAGTTTAGAAAATGTTACCTTAATGCAGCTGAAATTGTGTGTAAATTATGTTCTTTTAAAAATTCAAATTATTTTCTTAATGCCTTAGGAAACTCGTTATTCAAAAGGATATTTTTGTAATAAAATATTCACAGCTATCTGGTAAAGTTATCTTCACCTTTTTTTTTTTATCATTTATTAGATTTGATCAGAGTTATAGTTGACAGCTGCACACCATTCCCCATCCCCTGTTAAAGTGGAATTACACTAAAAAGTGGTCTGTGTAGAGGGGTCGTTTTTTCAATTCCTTTTTAGCTTGGACATTGGCAGTATTTCACCTCCGAGATTATTGAGTAAATAGTGTAGTAAGAGAGATGTCTTGTCCCCGTCTCCTGCCTTTTTTCCCCCCGCTGATTTCTTCTTTTTACTTGTCTGCCTCCAGGATTCCCAGTGGAGATTTTTTTTTTTTCTTTTGGCTTAAGGAGTTGAATGAACTCTTCTGTCTCTGTTGAAATGGGGAGACTCATCCACTCCACTGACTGTTTACTGATATCTTCATATCCTTATTCCTTATTCAGTGCCTTATTCCTCCTCTAAAGAGTGCCAGCATCTTCCGGAAGTCAGCAAAATCAATGAAGGGAGTTACTCATCCATCAGAGAATTTGTTATAAAATATGAGGCTATAAAAGATTTATTAGTCTTTTAATAAATTTATTAGGTTGTAATTATTAGGTTGTCATTCTGTGGTAAGTGGTTTTTGGTAAGATCAGTAATTTCATTAGTGTGTATCTTGCCCTTAAGTCTTATTTTTAAAAATGTAAAGTGGCTATCCAAGCTTGGCCCAAGACACTTTTAATTTTCAAAGTATCTAATATCTCTTTATTTACTCTTTTTCTGAGAAGTATTTCGAGCATGGCTCAGGGTTCTCCTCTAGATAGAATTTATCACTTAAATTAGAAGAAAAAAACCATTGGCCCTTTTAATCATTTTTTCCACATTAGTCAAAGACTTTTGAAGTAGAAAATCGCCCAACCGAATAAGGTTACATACCTTCATTCCTGCCTGTCACCCAGAGAAATCAAAGGAAATGCCACATAGGGATGAGTCTCTAGCTGTCAACTTTGCCTACTTAATTGGCTCTTTGTGGTAAAGGACTGTTACAAGTACTATTAAAATTCTAGATATATTCACTTTGTAGAAAACGTGTTTGCCTCTAAGGGCATGCCTGTTGTCATTGGCCTAGTTTGTTGTTCGTTCCGGACCCCGGCGGGTGGGGGAAGCTAGGGTACCTCTTCCTTTCTGGAGCAGGTTGGCAGCAGAGGAGCCGAGGTACTGGCAACATCTCTGCCATTGCTCCTCAGACTCCGTGTGGTATGTCCTCCCCCTCTTGAATTGACTTTAAGCAGCTCTTTAATCCCTGAAAAGTAAAGAATAAGTGTGTTTTTAAGTTTCAAGGCACTTTAGTCTCTTACTGTGCCTGCTGCCCCTCTCCCCAAACTTACACACAAACACAAATTTAACTTTTGGTGTGAGTAGAGAGTTGGGTTGCTAACTTCAACATTCGTGGTATGCTTACATCTTTGGTATTAGGTTTACATTTGATTTATGAAACAAATATTTATCCCTTCATATGCCAGGAACTTTTGTAGATATTGGCAATACTGAGCTTTTCAGAAATTACAGTCTCGCAGACAAGCAAACCATTGCTATAGCTTGTGTTAATTGCTATACTAGCAAGATTGTCAAGTGTGTCTTGGAACCATAGAATATGAGAAGCCTAAATTTTGGGAAATCAGGAAAGCATTAGGCATATCAGTGATAAATGAGTAGTTTAGTGGGGGGAGCAGCTTGTTTTGACTGCTCTTTTGAGAGGCTTAGCAATAAAGAAGAGTAGAGAAAGATAGATTTTAGTAGGGGGAGTTTGGGTTTGCAGGTTGTGTGTCTGTGTATGTATGCATTTAAAAATACGGTCATTGGGAAAAGGTTGAAGATTTAGGACATGTCTTTTTTTGCCTTACTGGTTGCAGGATGGCTGCCACTTATTCAAGTGTCATAAGTAAATAGGACTCAGTCTCTTGGAAGAAGACAATTTTTTTCTGGGATGTCTCTTTATCAGGGATAAAAACCTCTTTCCCCACTGCCTCAAGTGGATGCCATCCCTGTCATCTCCTCTCTATTCATGAGCCAACACTGCACAAAGGCCCATGTCTAAATCAGCCAATGTCACGGGAAATGGGACCACTGCGATTGGCTTAAATGGATCGTGTTTCATCTTGAGTTGGAACTGGAGCTGCTTCCCTAGAAACGTGTGGCCTCCAACAGGGAGTAGATCTGTGAGTACAGTCAAGGTTCGGTTAGAAAATGAGGGGATGAAGGCACTGGGCAGTCGCTGCGTCATCTTTGCCTGCCGCTTCTGCCACCAGTCTGCACAGACACAAACTTCTGAGTAGAAAAAGAGAATGCGGTTGTCTTTGGAATTTTTGGTGACTTCTTTCCCCTTTTATCTCATTATATTTACTATTATACCAAGTATTACTTTCACAATCAGATCAATCAAATAAATGTTTTATTTAAAAACTATTTAAAAATTGAGAACGCCATTCTAATCCCCTGAAATACATATAGAAGGAATATATTTCTTTCAGTCTTCTAAACAGTGCTCAAGTTCTTTGTCCTTCTCTTTAACACTTTCAGAGAAAGTGTTATATCTTGTAGCTTCTGATTGTATATATACCAGAGAACTGCTCTCTTTTAATCTGCCGGGCGTGCCCACCTGTTATATCTGTGGCTCCTACTGACTGACAAGGCTGGCCTGGCTCCAACAGAGTGGTCGTTTCTTTGCCTGGATGGGCGGGCATTCTTTGGAACCCAAACTCTTATATCAGGGAAAGAAATGGAAATATCATTTCCTCTCTACACACACCCCCCTCCTAGTAGGAAAAGCTGTCCTGTGGTTAGCTTCTTTGCCATTCTTTTCAGATTTCAAGAATAATGCCACTTTAAGTTTACACATTGTTCTTGTAGCACTCCTAAACTTTTTAGAGCACTTTGATACGTTTAGAGCACTTTCATGTGTCATTCTTGTTCCTTTTTCTAAATCTCAGGTTTTGGTGCTTTGTGTGCTATATGAAAGGCAAACAAATGATGTAAATACATAAACACTTTGTTGTACATTTACAAAATAGAAATTCATTGCTAATGGATTTTATACTATTTGATAATAACTATAAGGCTATGATAGAGTGGGCTTCTGAAATGGTATTATGTTTTTGTATAGAATTTAGAAAAGTTAGAATACTGCCAAAATAATTTTGTCTCAAATAAAAAAACAATATCTTTTACCCACTCGGTTGTTCCTCAGATAATATTTAAACAGAAATATTTCAGCTTTTTCTTTCTACAGGCCTCAAATGATTACTTATTTGACTTAATGTTATAATTATTATATTTTGGAAAGTAGCTATTGAGGGCTTAGGTGGAAAGCCTACAGCTTGGAAATCCCCATTTTAGAGATGGTAACTTGACTCCCAAGTTAACATAAATAATAAGAAATCGATTTAAACATTTTAGTTTTAGCTGTGTACATTGAGATACTACTGTATGTAGCACTATGGGAGCTGCCAGGGATTAGTGGATTAGGTTATTTTTAAATAAATCATTTTCATTTAATACCTCTACTTAAAAAGTTTCAAATCTGTGATTCAGGCAATGTTTTAATTTAATTATTCCACTGAAACCGCTGCTTTATTTAATGAAAATTGTTGCTTAAGATTATTTTTACTCTTCATCTTACAGTTTTTTTTTTTTGACTCAAATTTATAATGAGTTGGAACAAGATGGTGTTTAAGGAATGGTTAGAAATTTGAAGGGCATGTTTTTGGTTATTGTTTTGTCTTGTGCTTGCTTTTTTTTCAGTTACTTTGCATACTATGTGTGTTAACTCCTAGACCTACAGAGGGTCACTCTGACTTTGATCTTATTTTAGGGCTTTCACTTACTCTAGGCACATAATTAGATTATGGTTATAATTATTACAGTTTGAAAACAAAACATGAAGAATCTTTAATATTTCAATTTGAATATAGGAGATGGACACTTAATACTTTGTATTGAAAGTAACCTTTAGCGAATATCTCCTAGCAGTCCTAGAATTTTCCATGTATGGTCTAGCTATTGACTTTAAGGTCACCATAGTTTAGTGTCAGATTCCTTTTAGTGATATGTGAGATTTTTTAAATATAATCTAAGAAGTATTAATAAGAAATTAACCAAATATTGAGTAATAAAGAAATATTTACTATTCCTTTAATGCCCTTTTAATCTGTTTACCATTGTTCTCATCACACACAGAGTGTACTTTCTTCTATTACTTATTGTTCTACCTCTCTTCACTTTTACCTCCCCCGCCCCCCGCCCTAAACACACACATGTACCCACACCACTTAGGTCATGTGGTATAAATTGAAATGTAATATTTGGACCTGGGGGCCAGAAGAGCTTTTCAACCTTTAAGTTACTGACCCTCTCAAGGACTTCAGTTTCTTCATCCATAACAGAAGTGGGGGAAGTGGGTCATCCTGGAAGAATGTGCTCTTTTAATTAGAAATCTTTAGCCCTGTGAAATTAGCAGTTATCTTGAGCAGATTTGTACAGTTTTATATTTTCTTTTTACCTCGTTGAGATCTTTTATTAGGCTTACTGAATTTTTATATTTAAAGGTTCAGGAATCTCTTCATTTTGTAACTTAATTCTTGGGTTAGTAAAACCTTTTAAAATGCAGTTTTCTTTTGGTCACTTGCATCGTAATGGCAATAATAATAATGATGATTAAGTATTAGCAATCCTGTGCCAAGCACTGTGCTATGAAATGCACCAAACCGTTCAGTCCTTACAGTCAAGGTTGATGTCGTTTTCCTTATGGGGAGTCTGACGAGTGTCGTACAGAAGGTCACACAGTTGTTAGTTTCCACAGTCTTCATTATAGCTGAGTACGTGTGTTCTTTTCAGTATTATCCTGTCAAGTAGTGTTACAACAACCTAAAACTGATTTTCTTTTGCATTTCATAATTCTGTGTATTAGTTTAGCCCTTTATCCTTTTCAGAGGGTTTTGTGAAACCAGTAGGGCAAGAGCTGCCCACTGAAGGCTCACGAACGCACCCTGCCTGGTCCACACTTCCAGACCTGACCTGACGGTCTTCCCCATTCTTTTCCTTTAATAGGGTTCTTTTTTCCCACATCAGATCATTTTATTTTAGATTTCTGTGCAATTTAATTTTGTTCTTTTGTGATTACTGTGAAGATAGCAGTGGAGGGTACTATGTTTCAGAGTTGCCCATGAATTTTGTACATAGTGACATTCCTCCACTGATGACTGGAGGAATTATCCATGATTAAGGGGGAAAAGTAATGGACATGTTTTGGGAGGCTTCAAGACAAGCAAAATAAATGTGAACTGCAATTTTAATGAAAGCGAATTTTTGTTTATAGTTATTGCCTATTTTAACATTTTTCTGATTATAAAGTAATATGTGTTTATGGTTTAATAATTTAAATGCAGAAACAAAGATTACCTAGATGTAAACATTGTTAATATTTTGATATGCCTCCTAACTAGAGGTGAAGGAGCCAAGGTTTCTGGATATGTTAAATGTGAGATGCCTTTTAGAAATACGTGTAGTAATTCGAGTATGCAGTTGGATACCTGAGTTTGAAGTTCAGACAATAGTCACAATTAGACCAGATATAAATATGAGAGTGTACAGCAGGTCTGAGTGATCATGTGCTTGCTGTGGGTCTGGGCGAGTTCACCTAGGAAGTGTATGCAAAGAGGAGAAATCTAAAGATTAAGGAAGATTTCCAGTGTTTAGAGGTTTGGAAGAGGTGGAGGATCCACCAAAGAAAATTGATAAGTAGCTGCCAGTAAGATGGGAAATCAGAGGTTTATGGTATCCTGGAAGCCAAGCGAAGAAAGGATTTCAGGGAGGGAATGGTTGACCTGCTGAGTGTTGCCAGGATGCTGTATGAGAAGACTGAAAATTTGCGTTTTTGGCCACATGGAGGTCATTGGTCGTCACAAAGTGGTTTTCATGGAGTGGAGGGGAGAAAGCCTGATTTGGGTGGGCTCAAATGAAATTGGGAAGAGAGGGTAGTGGGGATGGCATGACTATACATGGCTTTTGTTGGGAGTTCAATAAAGGAGAGCAGAGAATTGCACTTTAGATAGGAGGGTGGAGGGAGGGTCAGGCAATTTTAAGAGAAGAGTCATTGCAGTAAGTTTTGTGCGATAATGGGAATGCCGTGTAATTTTTTTCCCTCATTTTTTTCTTGAGACTTTGCAGAAGTTTGTCCATTTTATTGATCTTCTCTAAGAATCAGCTTGTGGTTTAATTCATCAGTTCTACCAAAAGCAAAGGCAAAAAACTTCATTACTAAGGTGCTTTTTTTTTTTTTTTTTGGTGGAAGAAGAACAGATTTCATCAGGTTCTATAAGACAGAGAACCAGTGCTCTAGTGATTTGGCAGTTCAACAGCTCGTTTCTTCAGAAGATACCCTTAAATTTTTAAAGAATCTGTTTGAATTGATATCACTGTCAATATAAAATATTAAGTAGTGTGTATAACATTGTTCTCAAACAAGAAGAAATCTTACTATATTTTTCCTACCCTCCCCATTTCCTAATTTTGTCAAAATCTAAGACTTTAGTTAAAGGTTGATTTTTCTCTTTTTCAAAATTTTTTCTATTTATAGAATCTTGAAAAAGTTGCATTAAGAGTCAAGCAAATTATCAACAATTTAGACTTAACTGAGTTTTACTTTTTTTGTTTACTATCCATTTAAACATCTTTTTAGTTAAAGTAATACATGTTCTTGGTTTAAAAAAAATAGAGATATTTATCATAAAGCAACCTTATTTGTTACATCCCATCCCACCTCTAATTCTGTTTTATGGTTAATACTTATCTTTATCCATTTCTGCTATTTAATCTTTTTGGTAGTTACCTCTGTGTTTCTAAGATGTTTATACCTCAGTTTATTTATGAATGTAAGACATCTGTGAATTACTGTTACCATGGATGTTGATTTTGTTTACTTCTACCATCTCTCAACCTACATTTATAATCATTTTATTTCTGTTCTTGGTTACCTCTGCACCTCCAATTTTTTAAAAATTTGGTCTCATTAATCTAAGTATCTTTTGACTCTGCATGAGTCGTATAGAAATACTACCTTTCCTTTCAGTTCTCTCTGATTCCATCTTTCAGCCTGTCAGTTTTATTTTGTCAGGTTTAATAATATTTACATTTCATTCTATAACTGTAATTAAGTCTTACA